CTTATTTATAGCAAATTACCCCCTGACCACACCAGCACCCTCCTCACAAAGTTCTGTCACTGCTTTTATAGCTGCATTTCTAGTGCATCTGTAGCATGTCATTGGCATGCTCAGGCATTCCTCTGTCCAGTCCTTGGGTGCACTTTCATGTTGTTGTTGTTTAGAATGATGCCCAAAAAGCAACATTCAGTAAAACTCATCTGCTAGTTCTAGTCTAACATGGGATGTGTGCTGTAGGTCAATGTGCCTAGTTGTGTTGGGGAAAAAGAAAACTGAACATTTTTTTTTTTTTTTTTAATAGCAAATGACTATCTGTCAGCCATCACCTACATCAGTAAAGCTTCACCCAGTATGCAATAAATCAGCCACACCAGCAGATCATCTGCTGTAACTTTTGCTCTAGTATATTTAACATAATGCTACAGGCTGTGTACCCAATTTGTATTTATGACTGTACCCTGAGCACTTTGCTTTAGCACATAGTACTTCTATTCCCTCCAAGGACACGATGTCACACTGGCTTGCAATGTCCTGGTTTTGATGAGCTGCAGTGACTGTGCTCATGGTAATATTTATGTCCTGTGCCTGTCACTGTGTTAAGGAACAAAGCTAAATAAACCTCGCAAAGCTGACAAACCCGTTGTGATTATTTTTGATCTGTCCTTTTAATTTGTGTAACAAGTTGCCAGGTTTGCATTTGGAACAGCCTGTGCTGCAAGATGAGGGATCTCCTATCATTGAGATTTCCACTACCCTTCCTGGCATTTGGATCAGGCTTTTTAAAAAGAGTACTTCTTCAAAGAGGTACATGATGTTTCACCTTTTAAATCTGCAGCATCTAACTGGGAGATACAGAGCCTTCTCTTCTCCTGGACTGGAAGCCAGAAGCCTGCATAGCCAAGGAGTCAAATGGTCAGCTCAGGAGTGGTGGAGTAAAGACCCCCTGGTTTCTGCAGTTCTTGGTAGATCCTCTGGTGTCTAATGATATGCATATGCCAGATGAAACCTAGAGTACGGGCATGCATGCAGGATACCTGTTCCTTGTGTGGCTTCTTTGAATGAGGAGATGTCACATGCTGACTTTCCCTGCACTGGGAAAAGGAGAAGAGCATTGTCCTCCTCCCCTGTCTCTTCTAAACATGTGAGAACTTACAACTTTATGACTGTAACCTCACTATCAAAGCTGCTTAAAGTTGGCCTACGGGTTCAAATGTTTGTAGTGAAGTAGGGAAGGAAGGGGAGAGGAACCATACAACTGCCGCCTCTGCCCCCCATGCACACATGCTTTGCAAAGGAGCCATCAAAGGGCTCCTGGATGAGATTGTGACCATGTCAGGAGAGCACTCAAGCCCTGTGGTTAGGGCAGTCACCCCCAGGAAAGGGAGTCTTCCAGGGGTGGCTGCTGTGTGTGCTGCAACCCAGGATGGTACTAGGTGAGCTGGTCCCAAGCAGATCTCCCAGGCTGGCCCCAGTGCATCTTTCCCATTGTCATTGGCTCTTCTCTGGGAAGCCTCGGTAAAAAGTGGGAATTGGCTCAGAGCCTTGTGTCCCTGAGGGGGTGGCAGGGGCAGAAGAGCCACTGCTGTACACAAGACACCTCTGTTACATATGGATCCACTTCAAATTCAAGACTCACCTTGTGTTTCTGGGGGAGTGTTAAGACTTTAAGCAGGTTGTCTGCTCAGGGGAGTGTTATCCTGGGAGGATTTCACCTGTGCACCTCACTGAACACTAAGTCAATCATTTTAACATGCTTTAGACTGTTATTTTTGATACTGCCCTCCAAGCACTACTCCAGTCTTGCTTTGCATGGTGTATTGGGTTTGCGCAGCAAGGTTTTTGTAGCAGGGGGGAGCATAGGGGTGGCTTGGCACACAAACACTATACACATGGTGACAACCAAGATAAAAGTTTACTATTTTTTTCCTGTTTCAGTTAGCTTGTTTTTAATCCTCATAAACTGTCAGTGTAACTTTCACATTGAGTCATATTCATGTACTTACAACTTTACATCTTGGGACACAGAAGCCTCTCAGGTTTTTTCCCTGTTCTTTTTCAGTCTTGATGCTGAATATTCGGATCCTGATTCAGAAAAACACTTAAACATATGCTAAGATGAAGGAATATCTATCTAGCTAACTAGGCTCTCTTATTTTATGTATGTGCCACATAAGAGCTAAATAAATATTTCTATAAATATGGTCAATAAATACTCGGCCTAAGGTCAACAAGTTTCATACTGAAGGCAACTGGATGGAGTAACATCATTTTATGATGAAGAGCTTGGTTGGATCAAGGACAGGGTGCTCAATACCTTGAAGTATCATATTGCTGAAAAGTCTGGGTGACAATTTCAAAGCTCTTCTCCACAAATTCCTACTAAAATGCATGGAAACTGAGATTACAGTTCTTCACACTAATATTGAAGGTTGTGCTGTACATCTGTCTTTCGCTTTCTTCAGCAACTCTATCTAGTAACAATTTTTGATGCAATTAATTTTTTGTTTTAATCAAGATTAGGAACACGTATTGTGATGCTAAGAATTATTTTGATTTTGTTGAATTACATTCTCTTCTTAGTTGAAATACAGCCTCACTCACAAAGAATTAAACAGAATAAATAAGGAGCAATCTATTGCAAATAGCCAGCAGAGGAAATACCAGTTCACACAACATACCACTAACCCATAGAAATCATTGCCACAGAATGGAGTCAAACCCAAAAACACGGCAAACCTCAAAGCATGAATTGAAGAGTATTTCAGAAAGATTCTGAAAGGACTTTAGAAAGGCTGTAAAACCCCCTGTTTCACAATTAAACCAAGAATTGATTATTAGTGGTAAAGAGAAGGCAACAAGAGAAGGGAGGGACAGATTCTCTCCTACTCACAGTCCCTCCAGCCTTTTTCAGCAGCACCCCTGGCTAGACACAGTAAAAGTCAGAATACAGTTGGACAGATGAGGCATAGAACTGGGAAAGGTATTGGTACATTTCTCTTACCCTGTAAAAATAAAAATTAAGAAATGCCTGCAGAATTTCTCTTTCAAGGTCTTTCTACCTTCCTGGTGCTTTTCAAATTCAGAAAAAAAGAAGTTTGTTAGCACAAGGAAAGCTGTAAGCTCTGCAGCCATAACTTACAGCCAGGTCGGGGCGGGGCTTCAGCTTTTTCACTTCTTTCAGTGTTAAGGTCTCAATCTCACATTGGAAATGTAGTGCAACTGAAAAACTGACAGGTATCCCAAAATGATATTTTAAAATGAGAAACAAAGTATACTGTTATTTGTAAGAATTATTTTCTATTTTGACTGCGAAAAATTGTTCTGAAGAGCTTTTTTATTAGATTTTAACAATCAAAATAACAACTCTAGCTGTTCATAAGACACACTTCCTGTGAAGGCAGACACCTTACAGACCCCCACCACTCAATTTTTAAAATTTCATGAGAAAACAGAAATTTTATTTTTATTGTAATATTGCCTGGACTCCACAATTTAGCACCGTGTCTTCATTTCCTCTGTTGTGCAAACATGCATGGTGGTATTTTGAAAATGTCTGTCTCTAGAAGACCACTGAGGAAGCCTCACAGACAGAGAAAAACACAGAAGGAACAATTGCAAAGATTTATTTAGCGCATTCTGTGCTTGGCACTTAGAAACAGAGTTCCGTGCGTAGGGCAAATCTTTATACACCTTTTTCTTCATACATATTTTACATACCATTTTTATTGCCCTCTTTTATATTCATAATATTGAATCTCCCACTAGGCATATAAATACATTTATCTACAACACCTCACAACAAATCTCAATAATATCTGTATTCTGTTACTTGGTATTTGCATTTTCACACAACTTAAATGCAGAGCTTGCACCAAGCTACAACTGTTTTCTTATTTTTAAGGGATTTGAAGGAAAAAAAAAAGAGAGAAGAAAAAAAGCAGAAAAGAAAGATGTCAAAAGGCAGTGATCTATTTGGTTAAACAGAGATCATGTGGCAGGCGGGAGGTTGGTGAATACTCGACCTCGCTGTTACTGAAATGCTAATGGTTTTCTACGGCAACTCTTGCATGCAAGGTGAGGGAGGCCGGCTGCACTTCTGTAGAGCAGAGCTCTCTTTCCTCATTGCTCTTCCTGTGTGAGCTCAGTCTGGACAGTTTCCTCCTGTTGGGTTGAGTGCTATGGGACACATGTTCCCCACAAAAGCTTTCAGTTTGGGTGCATCACATTGGGTCACGTCAACAGGAGCTGAGCCCCCTCTCCCCCACTCATCTTTCCAAAGATCAGTCCCTGCTTATGTCTGAGGCTCACTTGCAGGTTAAAATTTTTCTCTCTCTTCTCTCTCTCCCATTTCCATCTTCAGGCTGGGTGCTGGTAAGCTCGACCCTCGTGAAGAAACTGCTTGTTGGGCAGAGCCATGGTGAAAATGCAGAAACATCTTTGGGAGGAGAAGCTCCAGCCCAGCAGCACCACTCCTGTGCTACAGCAGAAGAAGGAGCCACGGGCCACTGTTGGCTTCAGAAATGGGCTGAGCTGCTCCAGCAGTGAGGAACAAACTGGGAAGAGGAAGGTCTTTAAAGCTATGGGCAGTACAGCTTCAGAGGATCAAGCCCTGGGAGACTGCCTTTCTTTGACACCCAAAGGGCAGCACAGGGGCACAGATCACTCCACGCTGAGAGCTCATACAAGCTGAGAGTTAATGCATAAATGGTATATTCAGCTGCTTCTCTCAAGCTTCTCGTTAAGGTCATGCCCTTCTCTCTGCAATGTCCAGAAAGAGCAGACACTCCTTGCCAGGTCTGGAGGCCCTCGGCTACAACAAGCTGCAGTGGCTGTCAGTTGAGGCTTTCCACAAGGTTCTGTGGAGCATACCTAGACGGCTTGTGTTCTTATTTATCAGTTCGATACTAGTTCCACTATAAGTTTGAAGGCAAAAAGGTACTGGGATAGGTTTACCCCTGGAAACTATGAAGGTTCAGTTGCCTTCAATGCCAAGGAGAGGGAAGGCTTGTTAGACCATGTGCACAGACATCTGTGAGGATGAGCTCTGAACCGCACTGTACTGTCTGTTGTCACAGGCGTTGGCCGTCTGCTGGTTGCCAGAGGGAGGGCTGATCATGTGCATCCCGTGATCCATCCCCGTGGAAAGGTATTGCCTCTCTCCAAAGGCTCCACTGGATGGGGAAGAGCAGAGTAAAGTGCTTTGGGAGGTGGTGAGTTTCTCCGGGCTTGCCGCCAGCCTGGGGGAAGCAGGGAAATTGTATCCATAGAGGTTGTAGGGATTGTGCAGGGAGAAGGCATTGTAGGAGCTCTGCTGCATGTGGCCACCACCAAACATGTGTGAAGATGAGGAGGTGGAGGCGGGGTTGCCTGCTTGCATGACATACTGAAACTGGGAGCTGGGGAAGGACCCCAGCTGGCCGCTGTATGCCTCCATCTTGCTGTTGCTGGGCAGGGAGGAAAAAAAAGATCAAGGATGGAGTCCTCTGAGGCATGAAGGTTTCGGAGGGCTGTGAGGCAGAAGCAGTGCCGCTCTGCAGCCGGTTGTAGCCGCCATCACTCAGCCCTGGGTAACTCTGCAAGGCGGCCATGTTGCTTCTGGCACACGGGGGATAATCAGACAGGTTGATGTTGCAAAGCTGACTCTCCCGACAGCCAACATTGAAAGTGTTGGGAGCCAGATGAAAGGCTGGAGGGGAGCAGGACGGAGAGAGAAGGTGAGAAGAAGCGGAAGGTGATGGGGTCCCTGTGCTGGAGGTGGTCGGGGAGGTGCCTGTGCTGCCTCCTGCAAAACAAAACAAAACACAAGGAAGGATGTTCAGAGCCTGGGACCACATCTGCAAAATGAGAAAATCTCATTAAAAAACAGCTTAGTTTAATAAAGAAACAGGGGTGGTAAAATGGCTGCTGGAAAACTCAGCCTTTCTTGGCAAGAGCCCTCAGTTTATTAATAGCATCCCTTGGTCTTTCCTGCTGCTTTTTTATTATGACTTTGTTTTTCAATGGAGATTTTCTTCCCTTTTAAAACAGGAGAGGGAAGCAAACATGCCACAGAGCAATTGAAGGCAGTGGGAAAGGCTGCAAGGAAGCACCAATCCATCAGTCAAGAGATCTGCCATTTCCAGGCATTTCTATCTAGTCCTTTAAAAAAAAAAAAAAAAAGTCTTATCTCCCTCTCCCAGTCTGCAGGAAGACCACCAGTCCGTGGGCTGCATGGCCCCGCTACTAGCATGCTTTATCATCCAGTCAGGGGGCTTGTGGTGGGAAGTGGCTGAAAGCACATTGGATTTCTGCACTGTTCAATGTTTTTTTCAGATGGCTCATGGTGCAGCAGTAGTGATTTAAGCCAGAAGTAACACTAAAATGAAGGGACACAATTTCAAACCATAGCCTGTTCCACTGAGCAGGGAAAGGGGATATGTCAGGATTTATAATCATGTGCTTTAACTTTAAAAGGGATTCCATATGTTGGATCACTGGTGTTAACAAAATATTGATATATATGCGTGTCAGTTGTATCAATGTAGTATACATTATTTATGCTGTGAATGATAGAATTGGTTATTTTGCACAGCAGGGACACTCACATGTTCTGACCTGGGAAAACAATACTGTGTAATACTTCAAGAACAGTAACAAACTGAAAGAAGTGATAGGAAGAAGCCGATGGCACAATTTTGAGCTTGAGAAGAGATTATTTATAGGCAAGATTCTGAGTTAGAGAAAGCTTCCTTGGTCAACCAGGAAAATCAGTTCTGTTCTTAAGGGAATGCAGTTTTCTGGTGTGAAACTCTTTTTTTTCATTTGAATTATTCCCTTTGCATGAGATCCCATTTTTGCATCAGGGCAACTAACAGTGAAGACTCTTGTAAAAGGAGCAAAGAGGTGCTGGTGAAGAGGTTTGACCAGGGGATAAGTAGAACCAGAGGAACTAGGAGGACAACTGGTGATGCAGCATTTTGGACAGGCAAGAAGATGACAGGTTAGAAGCAAAGGGACTGGAAAAGAGGGTGTTATAGTGGGCAGCTGAAATTTAACCAAGGCAGAGATTGCACATTGGGGATCAAAAGTAAGGACAACTTTCTCTTGTGTTGCCTTGTGGAAAAAAGCAGCAGG